ATTTCTTGATTAGGATATTGCTTTCTGCTTGGTTGTTTGTCATTTACACACTAGTCAAAAGAGATAATTAAAAAGCTAAGAAGGGAACAAAAAGACCAAAATCATCAGTGTAGCTGCCCACTCCCAAATAAATAGGGATTAACACCAGACAAGCAATCAAGAGAGAAAACGATATCTAACTAAGGAACTCATAAGCAGAAAACCACATCCCTTCCAATACTGGCAGGCTAAACTACTATATATAACACAGGAAGCAAACCTCACAGTCATCAGCACTGATGATGTTACCTAGTGGGGTAATAAAATGTCTACAAGCAAACAACCAAGCTCAGAGAACACCAAGGACTCCATTAAAACTTCTTCAGTAAAGCTTCTTCTGACATCAGAATCATGCCTTGATAGATTTGGCCTATTAGTCTGATAATAGTTAAAGAATAAAAAGAAGATCCCTGACTGTCTTTTCAAGTTCTCTAACCCTTAACTTATACATCTATTTAAATTTCCCTTTTAAATTCTTCTGTAGTCTTAATGTCTATTTGAGCAGAGAGTTTTCACACTTAAACACCCTTCAAAGATCTAGTACATCACTTGAAAGAAAGATAGGGAAATCTCTCATGTTAGACATAGGCCCTTGAATTCATCACTGCCAACTACAGAGAATGTTATCAAGTCATAGGGTTGCAAGTGTGATTTCTATACATCTAGTTGTTTCTAATGCTTTAAAAAAATGATCAGAAAAAGCAACTTAATTGCAACAACTTTTTAGTTTATCATGTTTCACTCTTGTAGCTGGTGCTTGCTTTTAACATTTTCTTATTCTGAACGACATATCAAAAATGAGCATAGGATCTATTGTAATAGCAGGACAAGCGGTTTGCTGAAGTGAAAGAGATTTATGAATCCTCTGTACCACCTTAATAATTTTTAATATATTAAGAACACACATTTTTGTATTTACTGCGTGTATCAACTGCTAAAAATATGAATCGGAAACAGAGAGGGTAGGATTTCTGCAACATTGCCAATAAACTCTTCTCCTTGGATTTGGATTTATTCACAAAAAGAACCAAGCACTGTCCATGTAATCCATAGGAGCCAGTCTTTAGACATTTCTGAAAGGCTAGAACAGGGGGGGTGACAGCCTCGCCTCTGGAGGAAGAATGTTCCAAAGGGGGGGGGGGCAACAGCAGAGAAGACTCTCTTCCTGGATCCTACCTGTTTAATTGACATGGTTCGCAACATAATCATCAATTTCATATTAGCAGAAACTACTTCAGTGCTATTCATTTTATTGTATGATTTCCCACATATGATAAATCAGCTTCCTCATATTCATTCAGTTCTTAGTGACTTACTGGAAAGTAAGAACCTGCCCTGGACACTGCTTACCTGATCACGTTGCACTTCTCAAATTTTGCTCATTATCATATTTTCTGTACTTTCACTAAAAATTCTGCCAAATATATTCACGGGCCCTCTTAATGAACTGGCAAGGAAGAGTAAAGGACATCTGGATGATAAGCATTCCCTTTTCTTTTTCCTTAATTGGTGGTGGTATTTTTATTATTATTATTGTTATTATTATTTCTAGCTCTTTCCCCAGATTAAAATAAAACTAAGAAAGAAAAACAATATTTGTACTTAAAATGATATTTTTCTGTAGCATCATTATCATTTTAAAATGGAGGATTGGGCCCAGTGGCTACACAAGGTGAAGATAAGTTTTGTAGCCAATCTCTCTCTTTCCCTTTCCTCTCACTTTGCAACTAGTACTCTTTGCAAGTGCAAAGGTCTCCCAGAAGTCTTCCATAGTGCAAAGAAAAAAATATTGGAATCAGGTAGAGGAATCTTGCTCCTAAAGGAGTCCTTGTGCCACAAGGTCTTCTTGCCCAGTTTCAAATGTTTCTGGATATGTCCTTGAAATTCTGGATAAGAGGCTTCAGGCATGTAGGAGGCAGTTATTGGAGAGGGGGGAGAAGGAGGAAGGGTGAGGTGTGAGGAGGAGGAGGAGGAGGAGGAGGAGGCTCTGAACAGCTCACAACAATCAAATAAAGGAATTAAAATAAAAGCAATTAAATAAGAAAGGACTTTACATATATGATTGGCTGTCTATGGAGGTTCACAGTCATCCAGATCATAGTCGTCTCAAAGGTCTTTAAAAAAGGAACTGGACTTTCTTTTTTCTTGAAGACATTTCACTTTTCATCCAAGAACTTCTTCAATTCTAACTAACTGGTGAGGAATGGAAAGGATTTATACTCTTTGCAGTCAGCCAGTTGTTAAAGGTCCTTGAAACCACCAGGGCTAAATCTGTCCTAGTGAACGATCATTTGACTATGAGCCAACAGTGTGGAGCAGCAGCCAAAAAAGCTAATACAATCCTGTGTTGTATAAACAGAGGCATAGAATCAAGATCATGCGACGTAGTAGTACCGCTTTATAAAACCTTAGTAAGACCACACCTGGAATACTGCAACCAATTGGGCTTTTATTCTCTCACTTTTCAAAATTTCCCAAGCTTCCTGAGGGGAAAACAACTCAAGAAGCTTGGGAAATTTTGAAAAGTGAGATAATAAAATCCCAGTCTAGCACAATACCAACAAAGAGGGGAAAAAACAGCTCTCAGAAGAAACCAGCATGGCTGCATAAAGAACTCTCTGATAAATTGAAAAATAAAAAGGACAAGTATAGAAAGTGTAAAGAGGGGCACATAATTAAGTCAGAATATCAACAAATAGCCCGAGCCTGCAAAGATGAAGTGAGGAAAGCTAAGGCTCATAATGAACTAAGGCTTGGGACCAAAATCAAAAATAACAAAAAAAAGCTTCTTTCAACATGTAAAAAACAAGAAAAAAGTGAAGGAAATGATTAGTCCATTACTGGGTGAAGTGGCAAGAAGATGACAAGCAACAGGGAGATAGCAGAACTATTTAACTCATTGTTTGCATCTGTCTTTACACAAAGAGAAAAAATAGACCAACCTATCAAAAATAGTGCCATAAAAAGCAGAATAGAAACACAAGTTAAGATAGGCAAGAAAATGGTAAGTGAGCACCTGTCCAGCCTAGATGAGTTCAAATCACCACCAGATGGATTACACCCAAAGGTTCTCAAGGAACTGGCAGATGTGATATCAGAACCACTGAACTATATTTTTCAAAGATCCTGGAGCACTGGGGAACTACCAGAGGACTGGAAAAGAGCTGATGTAGTTCCCATCTTCAAAAAAAGAGAAAAAATGGATCCAGGAAATTACAGACCTATCAGCCTGACCTCAATACCTGGGAAGATTCTGGAAAAGATAATCAAACAACAAATCAGCAACACCTAGAGGCAAACAAAGTCATTACTAAAAGCCAACATGGGTTTGTCAAAAACAGATCATGCCAGACAAATCTTATTGCATTCTTTGACCAAGTGACAAAATTAGTGGATCAGAGGAATGCTGTGGATATAATTTACTTGGACTTCAGTAAGGCATTTCATTCATACTACTCAATAAGATAGAAAAATGTGGGTTAGACAGCATCACCACCAGATGGCTTCGTAGCTGGCTACCCGGCCGTACTCAGGGTGTGGTCCTCAATGGAACCGCATCTACATGGAGGGAAGTGTGCCCCAGGGCATTGTTCTGGAACCAGTGCTCTTCAACATCTTCATCAACGATCTGGACGAGGGAATAGATGGGTAACTCATCAAATTTGCAGATGACACCAAGCTGGCAGGAATAGCCAACACTCCAAAAGACAGGCTTAAGATACAAGAGGATCTGGACAGACGTCAACACTTGGCACTATCTAACAAAATGAAATTCAGTGGTGAAAAAAGTAAGGTTCTACATTTAGGCAAGAAAAACCAAATGTACAGGTATAGCATAGTGGGTACCTTGAGACTCTAGAAGGAGTACAAAGAAGAGCAACAAAGATAATTAGGGGACTGGAGGCTAAAACATATAAGGAATGGTTGCTGGAATTGGGTATGTCTAGTTTAATGAATAGAAGGACGAGGGGGGATATGATAGCAGTATTCCAATATCTAAGGGGCTGCCATAAAGAAGAGGGAGTCAAGCTATTTTCCAAAGTGCCTGAAGGCAGGACAAGAAGCAACGGGTAAAAACTAACCAAAGAGAGAAGCAACCTAGTACTAAGGAGAAACTTCCTGACAGAACAATTAACCAGTGGAACAACCTGCCTCCAGAAGCAGTGAATGCTCCAACACTGGAAGTTTTTAAGAAGAGACTGGACAGCCATTTGTCCAAAATGGTATAGGGTTTCCAGCCTGAGCAGGGGGTTGGACTAGATGACTTCCAAGATCCATCCCATTATTATTACTATTATTATTATTTAATAATAATTTTGGTCACCATATTACAAAAACGATGTTGAGAATTTGGAAAAAAATTAGAGAAGAGCAACTAATATGATCAAAGGCCTGCAGGCTAAAGCATATGAAGAATGGCTACAGGATTTAGATTTGGCTAGTAGTCTAAAGAAAAGAAGAAATAGGGGAGACATGATAGCAGTATTCCACTATTTGAGGAGCTGCCACAAAGTAGAGGGGGTCACATTATTCTCCAGAGCACCAGAGGGCAGGACAAGAAACAATGATCGGAAACTGATCAAAGAGAGAAGCAACCCGGAATTAAGGAGAAACTTCCTGACAGTGAGGACAATTAACCAGTGGAACAGCTTGCCTTCAGAAATTGTGGGCTCTCCATCACTGGAGATTTTTAAAAAGAGACTAGACAGTCACTTGTCTGAGATGGTATAGGTTCTTCTGCTTGAGCAGGGGCTGGACTAGAAGACCTCCAAAGTCCCTTCAAGATCTATTTCTATTGTGTCATATATTCCTGCAAGGTATGGAATGACAATGTTGCAATGTTACACCAGTGATCAAACATACTGTGGGTATGACTGGCTGCAACACACAAAGAAGAGAAAACTAGCACTTTCACTGAAATCAGTCTCATAATTATTGATCACTGGAAAATAATTTCTTACCTGTTTTCCTAAATATATTTTCTTGAGACAGAGCTAGTCTTATAACTCCGGCAACTGTATCTCTGACTATCTGTTCTTCACTCTGCAACAGTTGAACAACACATCTCCAAAGGAACAATGTGTCAGGCAGACCTGAGTATTTGTAGAAAGACATGTTAGAGCTGGATTTAAATACATACTTATAAAGTAAACATAATTTCTAAAACCATTACATATTAAAGCTAAACAGATACATTCTCAGAATATCATGTGTCCTTTTCCCTTTGGACTTTTACCCTAATGGCCACGCAGTCCAAGCTATACTCGACTAGTTAAAGCAGGGGTAGTCAACCTTGGCTCTTTTATGACTCGTGGACTTCAACTCCCAGAATTCCTGAGCCAATTCCTGGGAATTGAAGTCCACGAGTCATAAAAGAGCCAAGGTTGACTGCTACCCCTGAGTTAAAGGCAGGCTTGTATTAAATATATCTCGATACAGGTAATCCCCTGGTTGCAATAGCAATTGGGATTGGAATTTCTGTTGTAAAGCGATGCACTTGTAAATCATGATACCATATGACCTCAACATTTAACAATGGCAATCCCAGAAGTTCTTGTTGCTGTTGTAACCCTAGGACCATAACAAGTCATTAAACAGAAGAGGCAAGAATCCCAGGAAAGAGGCACAAGGGAATAGGGTGTGCTGCAGGTGAGCTGGCAAGGGCAGCACGTGGGTGCTGAAAGTATGGGCGAGTTTGGGGATGACTGTGTTACTAGGGCTCCTTAAGAGAAAAAGTGGCAGAACTGGGGCGACTTGCAAGCGTCCCTGCTGGTTTTCCCATTGACTTTGCTTGTAGGAAGCCAGCAGGGGAGGTTGCAAATGGCAATCACAGCAACGTCATAACCGTAAAACATCAAGAATAATAACAATACATAAATTAATAAATAACATCAATAATCAAGAATAACCTCATCTCAAACACCTCCTCTTCAACCATCCAGAATGATATTAGTAGCACCACCAATCATCTCAGGTACAGGGTTCCAAATGTCCTTTAGAAGGGTCTGTTTTTTTTAAATAATTTCTTAAATATCATGAATAAAGGCACAGCTCTTCTGTATGGTGATAAGGCATTCCTGAAGGAAGGAGTTCCTGCACATAAGTCTGCCTCTGAACCTCCTCCCATTGCACCTCATATGGAGTGGGAACTCTTGGCAAGCATATCTTGGGTAAACAGACTACTACTTGGAATAAGCAGTCCGACAAATAATTATCCCAAATTATGAAGAATTCTAAAAGTGTGTACTACAACCTAAATACTACAGAAGCAAGTTAACCAAGAAGTAAGCACAAACTATAAAACTTGACTGTACAAATTTCACTGTGTATTTTATTCTTATGTTGTATTTAATGAGAGTGAAAAATAAATAACTTTTGTTTACTTGCTTTGCCTAACTACTTACCCAAGGGAAGCTTCTGATCAATCAGGAAAAATGGTGTAATGCTCACAAGAATCTCTGCAGCAGCCAATCTCAGATCTCTTTGTTGTTCATCTTCACAGCAATAGCTAACTAATTCAAGCCATTGTTTTGTCTCTGATTCCAAGTCCTATAAAACAATTGGTACTGCCATTAAAACTACTGCAATAGCAATATTCTGCAATATTCTGAAAAATCAGAACTTTGTGCACTAGACAATTTCTATCATCCAAATTAATAGTTTTGTAAATTAACTGCTAAGAGCCAGCTGATGTATTGATTAACGATCCTGGCTAGAAAGCATAAAACCATGAGTTCTTGGGCCATCTTAGGAGCCAGTAGAGTGATATAAGGCCAGTCACTATGTTTCAACCCTAAGGAATGGCAAACCATTTCCAAAATCCTTGCCAAGAAAACTGCAGGCAGTCACTAGAAATCACTACTAACTCAAAAGCAATAAAAAGTTTTTTTTAAATGCTAAGAGTTTATATCATTTATATTATATACAAGGAAAAAATGGAAGATTATTTCAATATACATTTAAAATATATACTGTATTGTATATTGTACTGTATATTGTATACAATATACAATTATTGTGGAGAGATGCACAAAGATGGAAAGATTCAACACTACCTACTAAATAAGAATGATTGGTAAAGTTGAGAGATGGTGCTGAAATGGATAGATCAACTTCTTTGATTAGAGAAAAATTATTATCTTCATTAATTGATGACTGGAAACCTCTTGTAGACTTTTTGTGCAAAAATGAAAAAAAAAATGAATTTTGATTCATGGGTTTGATGATTAGACAAAATAGATTATAGACAAAAAGTGTAATCTGATGTGACTCTAGAGCTTAAAATATATTTCTTCTTATAACTGCTGTGAAGAATATCAAAAGCCACTTCTTACATCTTTTTTCTTCCTTTCCTATTTTTCTTGAACTTTTTTGTTTTCTTGCAATTTTTGCTTTTTACTTTTTTATTTTCCTTACTTTATATTAGTTTGTGTTAGTTTTTATCTTGTTCTTTAAAAATATCAATAAATATAAATATACTAGGACGTAGTGGGTTTGTGGAAGGGGTGCTAGTACTTTGAATGCTGACTACACACGGAGCTATCCTTGAAGAGTATGCAGAAGCTTCAACTGGTTCAAAATGTAGCCGTGCAGGCAGTTATGCATGTTCTGCAATCTGCACATTATGCTTTTGCTCTGTGAGCTGCACTGGTTGCCAGTTTGCTTCCAGGTTCAATTTAAGATGCTAGTAATAACCTATAAAGCTCTATAGGGAGCAGGTTACTTGAGGGATCGTCTCTCCTCCATTACATCTAATCATCCCATCAGGTCTGGCAGGTGGGGCATGTTGCAGGTCCCACCAGTCAGGAAATTTAATCTGGCAGGAGCCAGAAAGAAAGCCTTTTCTGCCTTGGCAACAATCCCATGGAAAATAATCTCTCCCCACCCATGAACCCCTCCCCCACCACAGGAATCAGATTGGCTCTGACCCTGCTGGCTTTTTGCAAGGCCCTGAAGACACGATTTTGCCAACAGATACAAGGGAATGTGGTGGAACTGGTGCAGTAACTGAACTGATTCTTGTGATAAACGAGATTAGCTCAGCTGTAAGTTGTATGTATTTATGATATTTTTATATATTTTTATATATTTTTCTTGTTTTTAAATTTATTTTTTTAATTCAAAACATTTATATAACCGCCTTTTGTATAACTAATAAAATATTGTTCTTTCTATATTGTTTTTTATATATTTGTTTGCAAGTTATCCAGAATTATGTATTATATATATGAAATGGGCAATTATATACATTTGAATAATAAATAAATAGCCAATAATGAATATTCAACCTTTCCAATTCCATAGATTAAAAAAGAATTCTGTGCAAAAATCCAAAACCACTTGAGTGTCCATAAAAAAGCAATTAAATTAAATCACATCAACAATTAAAAATTAAACTGTAAAAGATAAAAGCTAAGACAAACTTTTAAAAAAAGTTCTGTGAAAATTTACACTACAATAATCCAGAAACCTTCCTAGATGTATTGTTATTGTGCATTAGGGTTGAATTTCTAACGTCAGGCTGTTTAGACATGAATCAATTAACTTAAATGCTTCAAGAAAACAAATATGATGTTTAAAGATTCTACAAAAAGTAATTTTATATTTATTTATTATGACTGCTTTTAATCATAGCATAACTGAGCAAACATTTGGTAAATAATTTTCCTTACCTCCTGCCAGTTTTGTATAAGATATACGAGCAACTCTGAGGCCAATTTAAGGGATATGCTTTGAATTTCAATGCTGTAAAAATAAATGTTAACACAGATACACCAAATTAAATCTTTAATAAGAATAGTGTGGCAATCAACAGGCAATCTGTCTGAAAATACAGTATTTCTTGCTAACTTGCTTTAAAAGCCTTATCTATTAAATATCTCCAGATATTTAACCCCCAAATTCCCAACTAGCATGATAATTTAAGAAATGTAATTTTTACAAATCTGGAGGCCACCAGGTAGAGATAGGGTTTATTACATAAGCATATTGCTTTGTCGCTGAATCCAGAATTAAGATTAATCTAATTCAATTTTTCATGGCTACTCGTGAGAAAGCATAAGTAAACAAGCTAAACAAGTTTGTCTTATGCATGAGAAAGATGTGCCTTAAATGTATGAAAACTATCCATGCGCTAAGTCCTGATAATGTTTAAATACTATATGTTGATGAAGATTCTCAGTCATCCAGGTAGAATTGTCTGGAAGTTGTATCATGGCAATTGGGCTTATATTTTGTTGCTCTGAAACATTTCGCTGCTTATCCAAATAGTTTCTTTAGTCTGGGAGAATCTAACGAATAGGTTCGTTAGATTTGTTAAATAAGTTTAGTTGCCCTGACTCAACTTCCAGACTTGAAATACTGTAGTTTCTGATTCAGGCAGTCGTCTACCTATAACCAAAACTGGGCCCAGAATCTTGGTTGCAGAACGAAAGTGTTGTTAAATGACACATTAAGTGACCATTTAACTTAGTGGTGACTGTTAAGTGAAGTGCCAGGAGAGGGTCCTCTCCCAATGACTGCTGCGTTTACTTAACGATTGATGCAAAAAAAGTTGTAAAATCAAATGCAGTTACATGGTATCTCGTTTAAAAATTGGGATGGCTTACAACTGTAATTCCAGGCTCAATCTTTGTTTTAAGTGGAAAAATGTATAAAATTACAGTTAATAAAATTCAGAAATAATGTTTTCCCTTTCTGTATCAAAATTCATTTTCATTAGCAGTCTGCAATCAGTAAATACAGATTAACCAAACACAAAAAGACAAGACAGTATACCTGCCAGAAGTATTTGCAATATTCATAATCCAATGCAAGAACTCTCTTGGATTCATTTTTACAGCATCTTCCATCTTTGCAAGCACACTTCTGAGGTCCATTTTATACAGAACCTCTAATATCTATTACAGAAAAAAAAATCAGCTACAGGAAATACTATTCTGAGCCTAATTGGAATATATAACGAGTTTAATTTGAGAGAGAGAAAAAGAAAATGTTTTATTATGCTCATAAAAAACCCTCTTTTACAACCCTGTAGTCCCTATTCAGGCACAGGCCAGCACAAAATGTTACTTTAAGTTCTTATTTTATTATATGTAAATTACTTGTCCTAAAGAAAAAGAAAAAAAAATAGGATATCACCTTGCAAAAACATTCAGGATGCTTTTCCTTTACAGCTATCTTAATAAGTGTTTCCTCCAAGCCAGATAGTAGATTCAACAGAACATTTCCTTTTTCTTCCATCACATGTTTTGCATTCACTTGATTCAACCATAGCAGGACTGTTTCTAAGACCAATAAGCGTACTTCACAAAAGTCTGAATGTAACAGGTATTCAACTGACAAACATGGATTCATTGTATTACTTTTAATAAGTAAATTCCTGTTTGCAAATCTAGGTTCTGAACACATAGATGTGAAGAGTCTGGTGATGCTCTGGAGAAACTGAGTAAGTCCTGGGACTGCAGGAGAATACTTGATACCCGTTGCTAGTTCAGAATCCAAGATAATAGTGCTAATCTTTCCCCAAAATGTGTTCATATCTGTTTCTGAAATGAAATGAAATAGGGTGGTAAAATGAGAAAGGAAGATCATGTATGGTTACCACACAAACACTTAAAGCATGCTCACCTATTTGAGACACATATAAATCAGATGCTCAAAGGGAAGTTACACATCAAATAAATTTAGCTAATGAAATGATTGTGAGCCTTAGTTGGTGTATCCTTTTTTCCAATCAGAATGCATCTACCATTGTAAAAAAAGAAACAGTTAGCATTGTCTGCTTACAGGTCTGCTATATTATTGGCTCCATACAAATAGCAATTGGTAATCTTTAGTTTAGTGTCCTGAATGAGCAGGCATCCCTAAAATCCTAAATCTTTCAATATCTGGTCAGTTGCTGGGAAATCTATGAAAGCCAGGATATTATATTGCTGAAGGTATTAGACTAGGTGTGAGGACACCCAGGTTCTAGTCCACCTTTAGTCTCAGAATCTTATTGGGTGACTTTAGACAGTCATGTTTCTCAATCATCTCACAAAATTGCAAGGAAAAATTGAAGGAGTGTTATGTATGCCACCTTAAGTTCCCGAATGAAAAATGTGTTATAAAGCTAATAAATAATATGCAGAATATTGATGTTGGGATCTGATAAACACAACTACCATTCAGCAGTTCATATGACTGAATGGACATTAAGAAATCTAAACTTTCATTAAACTTAGGGAGCATTTCTGACCCTTCATTCATTTTGAATTATTTAGAAATCAACTATTCTAAATTCACACCTATATTAATGGCAACCACAACAGCCAGATTGATTTTATCCTTATGCAACAATGTGATTTCCCCACTATCATAGAGGTAAAAGTCATTCCATGTGATTGTCTCACCCTCCAACATAAGATGATTACTGCTGATATAAAGATCAGCAAACATACAGAGTGGCGGTAGCATACTGGATCCAGAGAAAATCAAGTGGTGGAAGCTATAAAAGCACAATGTGGTCATCATTAACTGCATCACATTTCCTCCAATCACTACAGGCTAGATTGATACCATTTGAATTTCTGAGAGTCTATTATCATTGCTGTGAAAAATATCCCTAGACACTGCAAGACCAGGTTGTCATCAAAACACAAGCAGGTGTGGCTCTGGACAGAGCAGGTGCAGCAGAAAGTTCAGAAAAATAAGGTTCTTACAAAAAGAGGTATATGCAGAAGACCAGTGAAAACTGGCAAAAATACATCTTTGCAAGAAAACACACACCAAGGCAGGAAAAGAACACTACCTATGTGTTAAGGACAAAATAGTTGGCAATTGCAGAATAAGCTCAAAATCTTAAAACACTGGCAGGAGTACTTTGATGAAATCTCTAATGTCAAATTTCCACACCTACCAATTCCTGATGGCTTGGCTAAAAGTCGACTCAATCCTGTACTTTACAGCTGAAAAAGTTACCAAAGCTATCATGAAGAATTTGAAAGCATCTGTCCCAGACAATCTACCAGCAGACATCTGGAAACTGAAAGAACTTTACAACACAGCAATTGACTGACTGACAAACTTCTTCAATGCCACTGTGGACCCTGACTGGGCCACGAGTATCACAGGTCTCCTCTTCAGGACAAAGGCAAATGGGAAAACTACTGACCAATCAGTTTATCACACACAATTAAAATTTTTGAGTGGAACCTCAACCAAGTGACACTCTTGAAATCAGTATCATCAGTGCAGCTATTGTCAAAGACTTGAGTACCACTGATACCATTTTTGCAGCCCACATGGAGAAACATGGAGAAAAGTTTTTAATTATCTTCCATGTCAGATGATATGGCATGCATTACGTGACCATGGTGTGCCCAAGCCATTTATAAAATGGGTCTGGATTTTTATTTATTGCAGCCAATTACTATACATTGGCTTTTCCAAGAGCTTTCCTATGAAAATTAATGTGCACTAAGGCTCAGCATTATTACTATTGTTATTTATTCTCATCATGAATAAGCATCACATTAAATCTGGGACTTGCTTGACGCTGATGATGTCCTGCTCACAATTACCAACAAGGAAGAACTGCACCACTCTTTTCAAACATGGAACAATCATCTTAGCTAATTTGACTTGCGCCTTGTTATCAAGAAGTTATCAAGCAGTGAAGATCTAGTGAAGACAAACTTCTTCCATTACTTAGGATCTGCAAAGTGATGGCAGCAGTAATGAATGCACAAGGATGGATGCAATGTGGCTGAGATTGAAGGAGATCATTGGAATGCTTTGGGATAGGCATATAGCAATTCACTTGAGATCCAAAGTGTGTAACTTGTATAAAATAATGTACCATATGGCACCAAGTGCTGGCCAACCACCAAAAGTGCTGAGTGCACTTTAAATTTCCCTTTTATTTATGATACAATCTAGCAGCAGGTGGGTGTTGCACCAATAATAGAGAAAACATGGGGAACATGCCTATAGTGCTAGGGCCACATTTTACAAGCACCACCTTACACTATCACCTGCACTGCCTACCACTTTAACAATCCAATCAAGTGGTCAGATTCCACCACAGGCCATTGTGGTAAAGAATCTCATGAGTTGTAATCCAAACACATCTGAAGGAGACCATGCTGCCTAAGGCTGACTTAATGTATTCAGAACAAAATTACAGTATCATACATACTTACCTGATAATACAATCAATTGAACTGAGCAGGACTAACAAGAATTTTACACAACACCACACAGCACATTGCTATTTTACAATTTTATTAAATAAACCATATATATATTGCAAAAGTTAAGATTGTAGGGAAAGGGAGATATAAATAGGAAAAGAAAATGAGCATGAATATTGTGAAATGTAATAATTTAAAGCATAGCATTTAAATTCACATAAAAGGTATATTCTTTTTTAAAAAAAAAATCCATTGTGATTGCATAAGAATGCAAGCCATCTTTGCTATAAAAATTAAGAACTATTATTCTTAATTTAGTATTCTAAAGTATTTGGAAGAAGCTTTGATACTAAACAAAGATATTTGTGCTTAGTTATTTTTAGTTGTGGTAAAGGAAACATTTTCTGTGGAAAAAAATACTTTGATCTGAGACCATGTTTTTTTTATCTATTATCTTTTCTCCTTCAATGAAACACAGAGAAATTTCTAAATTAAAAACAATCAAGCCTTCTAGGCAGATGAACAATTTTTCATATCCACTGCAACAGCTGTCTGATCTTTGCACTTCTGATGTGATTACCATATTTCTAGCAAGCATGTCACAACATGGAAACCAGCAAAAGTATCCCCTAATATATGCTTACTAATATATGCTGGTATGTTCTCACCCTCTCATAACTTGAGCTCCATCAATTACTTTTCAAGAACCTGGGTCCTACTTTGGAAAATGGTTCTTTCCCCAATATAGGGGAAAAGACCACTTTTCAGAAAAGACTAATGCTTGCAATCTCTCTTTCTCTGACACATATACACACCAATACAGGAGAATATTTCTCTCTGTCTCTGTCTCTCTCTCTCTCTCTCACTCACACTCACACAGACAAACACAAACACACCAATAAAAGAGAATATTTGTAATTCAGGGTTAAACTGAGGGGTCCTTGGTACTCTCTGAACTTGATTGTTTTCTTGCAGACATTTCATTACCTAAACTAGGTAACCAATAAACAATATCTACTTACTTGGCTGAGTAAATCTGCCCAAATAACAACAGAGAATAGTAGCTAATATAAAATAATATTTTATATTGTTCCTAAGCCCAAATCTCTTAGAGGTTGCTAGACTATACTATAAGACGCCCCCCCCTCACCCCCCCACCAATGTAATAGGAAACCAAGGGAAAAAATAAAGACTTGATTTGACTTAGAGGCCCTTTCCAATTACAAATCACTTAAAGAAAATCAGAATTTTAAGACTCGTGATGTAACAATTGGTTCATTTATACCAAAACCTCCAACTGTGCATAAATTAGGAATCAAATGCTGACACTTACTGGAAATTATCACAGCCCTAAACATGCAATTTGTCAAAATGAATAGCATGCAGTCCTAAATAGGCCAATTATGTTCAAAGTGCTTGCAGTATTAAAAACACCATGGTAGTAGTAGCAGCAAAATGTATCAATATCACTGAATCACTATTAAAATGGGCAGAAAACTTTGAACGTGGTAGAAGCACTGACTACTCTTAGAGACACAAAATACAATAAATCAGAAGAAGCTGAGCAACGCCACAGTATTTGCTATATTTTCACTTAGAAATGAGGATAGTTATAAATAGATGAAATATATACAACTGTCATCCTTTCCTTTAGTGGCCAAGAGTAGGTGGGCTCTTTAATAGAATATTCTCCATATCTTTTTCCATATCTTTTCTTTGGTGCCAAAAGGCTAGAGGGATTTAAGCATGACATCAGACATCATGAAACTCCCATTAAAGAAGGAGCTGTTAGACATTCAATTTCTTTTAAAAAGGATCCAAGCTAAAAAAATTCTAGACATTAAAAGATGGCAAAAAAAGATTAGAGTTTAGATACTACCTCCTCAGCTAATGGCACAAATATACAATTTTTATACTTCCAAACTGCTGAGATGAGAAATATATGGGGACATCTGTCTACCAAACTCCTCCTGTCTTGTCTTCCTCCTTTCCTATTTTTCAAAGCTATCTAAAAGCCAAGCTATATGGAATGTATTAAGGTCTATAAGTAACTTTTACTGTATTTTTCCTCAAAGGTTAAAAGGACATAGCTCCAAGCTGATTCAGGATAATCACTTATCCATAGCTTCCTAAAAATTGTTTCTCCATCCTTGTTCTTATTAGCTCTACTTGGGAAAATATAGCTATTCTTTTCTCTTCTAGTGGGGATTTAAACTTCTTTGAGATAGGGCCATTTTGATCTCAGAAAAAAGACATAGGGGCTTGGTTTAGCAACTTTCTGCCACACTGCTTAAGTTACCTTCACTTTGCTTTTCCTTTTAAACTCCAGGAAAAAAAAAATTCTAAATTTGGTTCCTATTCAAGTTTTAAAA